CCCGCCTCCGGTGACATGTAGAAGATGCGAGGATACCAGCAGGCAAGGCAGGCCAGCCGAAACGTCGCGAAACACGCAGAAAACAGAATATCAAAGGCAGCATACCAATACCAATGGAGACCACCAAACACTACCCAGAGACCACAAAGCGCGACAGCAGGAAGCAACCAAACCCAAGAATACATAACCAACCCACAGGAGGCATGTCGCAAATGTGGCGGACACGGGCATTGGGCAAGAGGTTGCCGAAACCAGCGAATGCTATTCTGCTGAGATGCATGGAATGCTGTCAGAGAGCGGAAAATGGCCAGCGATCCCAGCCGCAGAGAGGCGAGCGGGGGTCGTACGCGGATTCCTCTCCAATCTAACTGGCAGGCTAATCGAAGAGGAGCAGCAGTTGTCCGCAGCGGTGACGATTGGTGGAAACTCGTACAAAGCCACAATCGACACCGGGGCAACAGCGAGCTTTATTAGCGAAGAGCTGGCGGACAATCTGGCTGCTCTAGGAAAGATTACACGGACGAGACGGCAAGTTAGGTTGGCAGACGGAAGGTGCAGCGGAATAAGCGCGCAGCTCTAGGTAGAAGTCGCATTCGGTAACAAACGACTGACCATGAGCCTGCTGATATTACCAGGAGTAGTAGACGCACTGGTGCTGGGCTGGAATTTTCTCACACAGGTTGGGGCTGAGATAAAGTGCGCAGGTCACGAAATCCGCATACCGGCCAGGAACAGACACAACGGATGGCTGGAGGAAAAATTGTCAGTGGCAGTTGTTCACGAAGACAGCGAGGAAGGAAACATCGAGCAATTCCTAGAAGCATAGCTGGCAGAATTCCAAACAATGAGCGGAACTTCGAATGTGTCCGAGCACCAGATCACCATGAAGGACGACAAACCTATAAAACAAAGATACTACCCTAAGAACCCTAAAGTTCAAGGGGAGATCAATACAAAGGTGGATGAACTTCTGGAAATGGGTTTCATAGAACACTCGAAGAGCCCGTATAGCTCACCCATAGTAATGGTTAAGAAAAAAAACCGGCAAGTGGAGATTATGTGTCGACTTCCGACAGATAAACGCGAAATCGGTGAATAACGCGTACCCAATGCCACGTATTAACTACATCCTGGACCAATTACGAGAAGCACGCTATATCAGCAGCCTGGATTTAAAGGATGGATACTGGCAAATTCCTCTAGAAGAAGCAAGTAGAAAGTTCACGGCGTTCACAGTGCCAGGTAAGGGGCTTTTCCAATGGAGAGTGATGCAATTCGGATTACACTCGGCATCAGCAACATTTCAAAGGGCCTTGGACCAAGTGATTGGACCCGAGATGTCTCCTCATGCGTTCGCGTATCAGGACGACATAATCGTTATCGGACGCACTCAGCAAGAACACAAGGACAATCTCAGAGAAGTGTTTCGCCGTCTGAAGGAGGCAAACCTGAGAATAAACCCTGAGAAGTGTCAGTTCTTCAAGCAGGAGCTGCTGTACCTAGGACATCGAGTCACAAGCCAAGGAATCGGTACAAACCCAGACAAGGTCGCGGCCATAGCCCACCTAGAACCACCTGCAACCATCCGTGAGCTAAGGCAGTACCTAGGGGTTGCATCGTGGTACCGACGATTTGTACCAGACTTCGCACGCATCGTTAAGCCGCTCACAGACCTACTCCGCAAGGGCGTAAAGTGGGTATGGACGCAATACCACCAGCAGGCATTCGAGGAGGTGAAGGCGAGACTGGTGTCTGACCCAGTATTAGCGTGTCCAGATTTTGGAAGAACATTCATCCTGCAAACAGACGCCAGCGAATACGGCATAGGCGCGATCCTGACACAAAACACGGAGGACGGAGAGAAAGTTATCTCATACTCCAGCCGGACGTTAAACGGAGCCGAGAAAAACTACTCGACAACGGAAAAAGAGTGTTTGGCCATTGTGTGGGCAATCAGAAAACTAAGGCCCTACCTGGAAGGCTACCACTTCAAGGTGGTAACAGATCACATGGCGCTAAAATGGCTGAACAGCATTGAAAGCCCATCCGGAAGAATCGCCAGATGGGCCCTTGAGTTACAACAATACGACTTCGAGGTTGCGTACAGAAAGGGTCAATTGAATGTGGTAGCCGACGCGCTGTCCAGACAGCCGATGCCGGAAACCCTCCGGAGAGCAAAAGAGTTGGTGCAAAATTCGGAATGTAACTGGATCAGGGACATGCGCGAGAAGATAAAGACACACCCGCAGAAATTCCCGGACTATGTGTTCGACGGCGAAACACTGTACAGGCAGATCCCACACAGAGCTGGCAACGAGGATGTGGTGGCATGGAAGTTGTGCGTCCCCAAGGAGCTAAGGGAAAAGGTCCTGCAAGAAAATCACGATGCCCCAGCCGCCGGCCATGTAGGAAGCCGAAAGACGATTGCCCGTCTAGCTGCCAGATACTACTGGCCAGGAATGCAGAGGGACGCGAGAGCATACGTTCAGAAATGCGAAGAGTGCCTAAAATTTAAGCCAAACCAGCGTCAGGCGGCGGGTAAGATGCTGACACAAGTCCCTGAGGAACCATGGGCAACGGTGTGCGCGGATTTTGTTGGACCCCTGCCAAGATCGAAGCACGGTAACCAAATGTTATTGGTTCTAATCGACCGTTTCTCAAAATGGACAGAATTAGTGCCATTACGAACTGCTACAGCAGAAACCCTGCAAAAGGCGTTTAAAGAACGGATAATCGCTCGATTTGGAGTTCCAAAAGTGGTGATTACAGACAACGGGGTGCAGTTTGCCAGTCGGGCATTTAAGAAGTTTCTTCACGACATGGGAATAAAACAACAGTTCACAGCACCATACACTCCTCAAGAAAATCCCACCGAGCGCCCGAATCGAACCGTAAAAACCATGATCGCACAGTTTGCCGGACAAAACCAAAGGAACTGGGACGAAAAGTGGCCAGAGATAATGCTAGCAGTTAACTCAAGCATATCCGAGTCCACAGGATACTCGCCTTCATTTCTAACGCAGGGCAGAGAACCGCGGCTGCCAAACGCGTTGTACGACAGAGAAACGCTGGGCACAGGGAGGCACACAGAGTCACCAGAGGGGAATGCCGAAAAACTGAAGGAAATCTTCGAAATTGTCCGACGAAATTTGGAAAAGGCAGCACAGGATCAAGCCAGGCACTACAACCTCAGAAGGAGACGGTGGAATCCACAAATCGGCGATGTCGTCTGGGCCAAGGAGCACCATTTGTCTAAAGCGGCGGAAGGCTTCGCGGCTAAACTAGCGCCGAGATATGATGGTCCATATCAGGTAGTCGATTTTGTGTCCCCCGTAATCTGCAAAATTCGCCACCAAAGAAGCAAGAAGCAACGCACAGTGCACATCAGCGATCTAAAGCAGCAGGAGGAGACACAAAAAACGAACGAGGACGGAAATACAGGCAGGTCTCAAGCAGTGGACGAATAAAGGATCGGGATTGCGGAAATCCGTTTAATCGTCAGGACAAAGCCGGAGTCAACGGAAAAGGATGTGGACAGGCAGACAGGATATCGTTTAATCGTCAAGCGAATGCAGATCAACCAGCGTCCAAGACCGCATGAGACAATAGCACCCGTTTAGTCGTCAGGCCAAAACCGGAGTCAACAGAGCACGCCTCAACACGAGCAAGAACTCTGATCAAGTCAGCATACACCTAAGTCAACGACGAATAAAGGATCGGTACTACGAGAACCCGTTTAATCGTCAGGACAAAGCCGGAGTCAACGGAAGAGGGAGTTGGATAGACAAGAAGGACGATCTTGCAAATAAAAACAAGACAGATCCCAGACTAGATGGGGCAGAGGCAACCGTTTCTACGTCAGGCCAAAGACCGGAGTCAACAAAGCATACACCCAATAGAAAGGGACATTATCAACGCAAGCATTCACCGGACCTGCGAAACGATCACAAGGAAAACACGTGGAGAGCAACGACATAATACACGTCACCGAGGAAAGGGGAGAGACGGTACGGGGTACCGTAAAGCTAGGAAAACCATGCGTCAGCAACGACCACCAAAAAGTAACTGAAGAGACCGAGCCAAAAACGAAGGAAGACCTAGGCATCGGAGGAGAGTGTCAGCGTCAGACACGCAGGGTTAAGAGAAAACGGCCTCCCCAAAAGAGAAGACATAAGCCGCAAAGAGAGCCGATAGGGATATAACGGTACGGCATAAAAGGAATCCCCGAAACCGAGGCTTCATGGTAAAGGGAATTGCAAGGGAACGGACAAATCAAACCAAGAAGTCAACATGAGTACCCGAGTTACAAGAGCAGCAGCAAGGAGGCAGGCCGCGCTTCAGCGAGGTCCTGAAGGACCCGTCGCGGAGCAAGGACGGTCGGAGGCTAGGCCGCTGCCTATCTTCCGGCCCACCCAAACCCCGCGGCGCGGTGCCGAGGACGATGGAGCTCGCTCGGAGCCCGAACCCATAGTCACCTCGGACGAGAGCGACATGGAGTGGGCCGAGGACCCGGTCAAGGAGAGGCGGGAGTGGCGCCTAAAGAGGGCCAGGGACCCGAAGGTCGACGCAATCCCGCCGGGATACGCCCGAACATTTAAGGGTGCGGCGAAGAGACCAAGGGGCAGCGGAAGCACCTCGTTGGAGATGGCTGAGGCGAGAGCCAAGACGCTGAGGGACGAGGTCGAGCGGATGCGGACGACGAGAGCCCGATACGAGGACCGCAGAGCAGTGGAGAAGGACCTTGAGACCGCGCAGCAAGAATGGGAGCGGATGAAGCAAGCCGCCGCTGAAGCCATCGTCCAGGAGGCATATCGCCTCAAGCGAGGAGAGGAGAAGGCCCGGAAAGAGGCGGAAGTGGAGGAGGCCAAGAGAAGGGCGGAGGAGGAGAAACGGTCCAGGAACCCCGAATGGCAGCAACGGCTACAGAAGTGGGAAGAGGAGGAACGCCAACTGTGGTCGGGCGAGGTTCTGGTGGAGGCGGTCCCTTAATCCCAGGAGGGATGCAAGGAATTCCCCCGACTCCCCGATCCGACAACGACGGAAATGCCAGTCGTGGACCCGAGGCCCCGAGCCAGTGGGCCCAGTCGGATGGATGGGTTCCCTACCAGGACCCAAACCCCCATCCCCAAAATTGGCACGAGCCACGTCCGACCCCCCGCCCCCAAGAATGGCCGGAGGATGTCGACCGGGATCCCGCTCCAAGCGCCTCACCACGTCAACAGGAGGCGGAGTTCCCACGCCCACCGAAGTGGACCCCGGCACGACCGCCCACGCCACGGTATGGCCAGGAGGTCCGGGGAGAAGAGCCCGAGGATAGCAGTCCGGATTCCGCTCCCAGCCCCCCTCCAAGTCATCCAGAGGCGGAACACCCCCACCCACCGAAGTGGACTCCGGCTCGGCCGCCCACGCCTCGGCACGGCCAGGAGGTCCAAGAGGAGGAACCGGAGGAACACACCCAGGAGGAGGTTCCCAGACCAGGAGGAGGGGAGGAGCAGTGGCAGTACTGCCGGACAGAGATCCCGCAGGCCCACGTCGCGCATGCGCTAAATGCGTTTGTGGCCGGCGGCGTCCAGTGGCGGCAACACACCGTCACGTGGACCTGGCCTGTCAGCGACGAGGCGAAGACCACGGAGGAGACGGAGACCCCAGCGCAGGACACTCCAAAAGCAAACCCGCGAGACCCCAGGGTGCGCCGCGAAGACGCCAGGTGGTTGCCGCCGACACCGGAGACGGGAGATGTACTGGAGAAAGGGCCATGGGTGTGGCCGACACCTACGGACAACCCGAGGCCCAAACTCCAGCGGCAGATCTCCGCCCCAGAGGCACGCGGCCCAGTGGCCAGGCCCACACTGGTGCGGATGGCGTCCCGGACAGAGGGCGGATCCTGGCAGGATATCGCCGAGGAGGAGTGGCCAGTTGGTCTATTGGAGCAGCCGGTGATCAAACATGCCAGGCGACGAGGGGGCCGACGCTGCGTGATGGCAGAGATAGGCTACAAGAAATACCGCATCCGTTTGGCGGCCTCTGGCCAAGTTAGTGTACGCCGTTTCGATTGCTAGCCGTATAAAAAAAAAAAAGAAAAATAATAATAAAAATCAAAAAAAAAAATATATATACAAAATAACCCGATCACACACGTAAACACTGACACAGGGACTTGAAACGCGGACAAAACTAGCACAAACACTTAAAATAATAACACCATAAAAAGCCGGGGAGTTTATTTACAAAAAAAAAAAAGGAAAAAGAACAATTCATCTGAAAAAAAATATAAAACCAATCAGTTGAATGCCAAAACAAAAGCAAAGGCACAACTCACCTGTACATCAAAGAATGGTGGAGAGGGGTAGCTGCTTGGATGAAAGGGGCAGTCCATATGTGTCCCAGGTCATCTTTATCTTTATCTCCTTGGGAAAGCCGTTCAGCTGAAAACAGAAAAGGAAGGCAAATGAGTTGAGCAACAAAAGAAAAAAAAAGGAAAAGTAAAGGCACAAACTCACGTGTACTTCGAATGATGGGGAGGGGTAGCGGCTGGAGAGCGGGGGGGAACGATCGTGGCGGCAGTCAATCCATTTTACCTTTTATCCTCTTTGTTTTCCATCTCCGCCCGTAGGCGAGGGCCACGGTCCAAGGGCAAGTCGAGGGAAAGGGGAGGTTTAAAGAGAAAGCAAGTTAAGAGAAAGGGGAAATGGAAAATTAAAGAGAAAACTTACCGGCAAGAAAAACTCTCCGCGTCATCATGTGCTTAGGGAAGGGGGCGCCAGCGATATAAGGCGGTCGATTGGCACTATCGTATAACAGCCGATCGATGGGCACGAGACATTGGAACTATCGGCATATGAGAGGCACACTAATAAACATCGCGATGATGAGGTGGCAACGCCACACCAAGGTAATATCGATATGCAAGTCATGTTATCGATCGCAAGGGATTAGTGTGACCAAGACGAACCACAGGAGACCGCGAACAAGGTTGGAGCGGGATATTTAAAAATTTCGACGGCAGCATCGGGATTTAAGGAAGCATACATCGACGAGGGAAGCTCCGTGGGAGAAAGTCAAGGAATACTGATCGGCGCAGTATAACTCAACAAGGAGCTGTGGGCGTCGATGTAAGGATCAAGAAGACTCAAAGGCAACAAGGATACACAGGATAAAAGCCGGAGAGGAACAACGAGAATTCGTACGTCTAAGGATGGAACCAGAGTGGGGAGAAGAGCGAGAGGACTCGAAGGCTACAAGGATTCACAGGGTAACAGCCGGAGAGGAGGATCGAGCTCACTTTCGTTATCCGAAGAAAGAGGGGAATGTGAGGAGTTAAAAAACTCCACACAAAATATCTCAAAAATAACTGCATGGAAAACCTGCCAGTTGCTACTTACGCAACTACTTCGCGTAGTAACGGCAACGCAGGAAAAGAGAGTTTGGAGAAAGCAGTTGTGGAGTACGAGGAGAGAAAGTACAAAGTACGAACCCAAAGAGAGTTTGGAGAGATTGGGAGAGACGGAGCGGAGAGAGGTGCCAGAGCGAGACGGCACTAGTCAGAGCGAGAGCCCAGAGAGCGCAGGCGTGCCGTGAGCAAGGAAGGAACGGTACAGCGCTGCACTGTGGACTTCAGTGTGGTGCCGTGTGCAGAGGGCGAAAGGTCAAACGGTAAAACCGTGGACTTTGGACCTTGGAGTGGAGAGAAGAAAAGGAATGGCCGAGGATTAACGGGACCCGGAGGCCTATATAAACGGGCCCAGCGCTGGAATCAGGACCAGTCATCGAGCATCAAACTACGAATGAACATCGTCTAGTGAAAGTCAAAGTCAAGAATATACCACCGTGAGAACCAACCGTGAACAAGATCGCTACGTCGAGAGGTTCGGGACCGAGCAAGTCACCGAATTGAGACACAGGTAGCTGAGTCCTCGAACGGCAACCCACGGCCAAGTCTACAGAACATCAAGGTTGGCTGTAATACCGAGTAGTCCGACGAAGTTGGCTGTAATACCGGTCAGTTTAGCTGCATTGGCTGTAATACCGATCAGGCTAGCTGTGCCGGCTGTAATACCAACCAGGCCGACTACATTGGCTGTAATACCGACGAGTCCAGCTGCGTCGGCCGTAATACCGATCAGTTGTGCCGGTTATAGGCAGATTTAGCTCGGCACGTCAACAACAACAGAGTGAGCGACACGAGCAGTGGGCCTCAAGGGAGCAACGTGGAACAACGCCACAACCAGTCGCGCAGGACGACGACGCAGACAAGCCGCCAGAGACCGCAACAAGAGCCAAGCCTCAGGTACGATCGCAACAGTCGGGAGGGAAGGCCAGGGTGGAACGTTCGTCTTTCTCTGGGCGCTGGCTATAGGGACTGCTGACGTGATCTGGCCGTAGTACCAGAGCGTCAAAGGAAACTGAGTGAGCGTCTAGTGGGACCGGCCGGGACAGAGCAAGGGACAGGAGGCTGCGGCTGGCAGGACGAAGGTCTTGCGAGCGTGGTGCCTGTTCACCCTAGTCTGAGAACGGTGACGCTTCCCTAAGCCCAACGGTCCAACTCCACGCCCTCGTCTATGAGCGGCAGCGAAAGTACTCGGAGCGACTAGGACCATCAGCAGCGAGGAATCACCGAGCGGCGACGCAGGAGCATCACCCACGCAAGATATATTCAAATATTGTCAACCAGAGCCGTAAATAAACGCCTCCTTAATTGAATTCTGAAGTTTTGTTACTGTTAACCGGGCGGTCACGTTTAATATAAATTTGGTGGGACGAACGCACAAATTCTACTGAGCTAGCCGCACGAATTTCGTAGCGAGCAAACCATAAAAAAACAGTTCGTTACAGGACATGTTTGCGACGGCTCTGCACAGGCGCCGCCAATCCGAGAGATATTCCACGTCGAGTAAGACTTTATTCGCACGGGTTATAAAGACATGTCTGCGGAGTTCGGTCGTATCGATCTCCGTTGCCCGTGACGGAACTGTTGGCCAGTTACTGGGTTCCGTTTTCAGAAACTCGGGTCCGTAAAGCCATGTGTCCACGCAAGGATTTTTGATGACCTTAGTTGCCCCGTCTGCGACGTTGAGCTTTGATGGGGTCCATCGCCATTGATCCACTCGAGTGGTCTCCAGGACTTCGCCGATTCTGTGCATCACAAATTGTTGAAAGTTGCGAGGATCCATCACCAGCCATTGTAGAACGGTTCGTGAATCCGACCAGAACGTAAGATCGTCGACTCGAAGATTACGTACGTTGACGATTTTGTTTGCTAAGCGTGAGCCCATCACGGCGGCTTGGAGTTCCATGCGCGGAATAGATAATGGCTTTAGTGGCGCCACTTTGCTTTTCGCGGCCACTAGCTGTACGTCCACCTCGTCTTTTTGTGACACTCGGAGGTAGCAAGCAGCGGAATAAGCATGCTCGCTAGCGTCCACGAACGTGTGCAGGTCGATTCGGGTTTCTGCAGATATCCTTGGGGAGTAGCATCTCGGAATGTTAATTGTTGCCACTTGAGGCAGTAGCAGCTTCCATTGATTCCAGTCCTCCGACAGTGATTCTGGCAGGTCTAGCTGATATTTGCACGCCAGATTTTCTGCAGAAGGATTTTTAATCCGATCGTATGACATGACAGCAGGCCCAAAGGGTCGAAGATCGACATGAGAACCTGAAGGACTTCTCTTTTCGTTGGGACTGCAGGATCAGTAAGGACGTCTCGCTTAAGTCTTGAGAATCTGCAAATAAAATTAAATACGTCTTTATGTGGGTCCCAGTACATACCCAAAACCTTTTCTGTAGCTCCGAACTGCACTGGCTCCTGTTTTTTGGCGTCTCCATCGTTCTTAAGATACGAGAGAACTGTACTGGAATTTGACGCCCAGTTTCGAATTTCGAATCCGCCTCTGGAGTGGACCTCTCTTACTTGGCTGGATATTTCGATGGCTTTCTGTTCATCACTCATACTGTCGATGAAGTCGTCGACATAGTGCGCACGCTGAGTCGCATCCAAGGCTAAAGGGAATTGCTGCTGGTGGACTAAGGCATTTTTGTCGCGCACGAAGTGGGCTATGAATGGTGCGCAACTTATACCAAAGGTTGGCATCATACCAAAGAAAGCGCTGGGAATGCATGTCTTCTTGGCGAATGTTGCTCCTGTGGAACATTTCGGCGATGTCGCCACTTACGGCGACTTTTCCGACTCTGAAGGCTAGAAGAACGTCGATAAGTGGGTTTAAGCAGTCCGGTCCGCTTAACAGAAGGTCGTTGAGGCATATCCCATTTGTTTTTGCTGCCGCATCCCAGACCAGCCTTATTTTTCCTGGCTTATTCGGATTTAGGGCTATAAATATTGGTAAGTACCAGGTGCGAGTTTCTTCTTTCTCCGCCTTCTCGTCAGACAGTTGCTTGGCGTATCCTTTAATAAGAAGATTTTTGATTTGGTCGTCGATTTTCGAAAACAGGTCCGGTTCCCTCAGAATTCTGGTTCTCATGCATAGTAGGCGCTTTAGAGCGGTAATGCGACTCTCGGGAAGTCTTTGAATATCATTTCGCCAAAGAAGCCCAACTTCGTATTTTCCACACTTGTTTTGGCAAGTCTGATCTAGGATTTCGACTGCTCGTTTGTCCTCTCTTGAAAAGAGTTTTTTAGGCGAGATTGACTCGAGGTTGAAGTGCTCCTTTACTTCATCGTGAAGCTTTTGCCAGTTGCAATCGCAGTGGTGCATAGATACGTGACGATTTGAGTTTGCCGATCCCTGGATGGTCCATCCTAACATGCACTTTGACGCTATTGGATCGTTCCATTTACCTTCGCGGATCCTGCGAGGAACGGCTATTTTCCAATTGTTTGTTCCAATTAATAACATTGGCTGCGCGGAGTAGGTCTCTAATGGCAGGTCCTTTAGATAGCTGTACTTACTGCGCAACTCATCCATATCAACTGTTTGGTTTGGCAGTGCAATGTTTTTCACAGTATGAACGTTGTTGAGCCAGTAACGTGTTTCGGAGCTAAAGCCTGAGATTTGGATTGATGCTTGCACGGATGTATTTTCGAACCGGGTTGTTTCTCCAGTCC